TTCCTGCTTCTAAGAGATTACGCTGTAGAACCCAGACAAAACACCCCAAAGGAAACCAACTTTAGAACAAAATGAAGCACATCCAGATAGGAACTCAGAAAATAAACCAGAAGAGAGGGGAATAAAATGGGTCGTGGAGGTGAGAGGTGGACAAACCCTCAGCAGGTCTAGAGATCTAGTCTTATCTTTGTCAGAAGCATAGCAGACCACATTCAGGGTAGCAGTTTCCATTTTAAGGAAAAGGAGCTGTACTTAGTTCAAAATATGTATTGGTCAACTATTGTAAACTGTCTTCTGAAATGGAACAGATACTCCAAAAGAAATGCAAATGAAGATCTCTTTTACAGCAATGCAACTAAAAGGAATGCTGGAAGGATTCAGGAAGAGAGGGTACATGCAAGATTACAATTTTAAAACAGGATGACAAAGTATGGCCCCACAGAGATGAAAAGCAAATCTCAAAATTGAAGGGAAAACTGCCAGGCTGGTAGAGACAGTGAGCTGTACCAATGAAGGTGCAAGCATTTCTACAGTGTTGGTGATTGGTTCTTGTATCAGACATTTTTATCCTTTAGCAAAGTTCACTTAAGTAAATGTAGAAACCAGGATTGTTACAGGCTTTGCTCGGGACTTGATCTGGAAAACAAAACACAGAGAAGAATTAAGAGTCAGAGACCGAGGGAAAGGAACTTTAAGGTAGATAAAAATGGAAGATGGAAGCAATATTGAAATAGTTATTAGTTAATAGTCCTGGTTGAATAGTTTATAAATGCTATAAATTTATGGCCACATTTAAATAAAATATACATTTTTTAAAAAATATATTTTTATTGATTTCAGAAAGGAAGGGAGAGTGAGTGAGAGATAGAAACATCTATGATGAGAATCACTGATTGGCTGCTTCCTGCACACCCCACACCGGGAATCGAGCCTGTAACCCGGGCATGTGCCTTGACCGGGAATTGAACTGTGACCTCCTAGATCATAGGCTGAAGCTCAACCATTGAACTACACCAGCTGGGCAAAATATTCATATTAAAAAAAGAGTTTAAAAGCTTATTGGTCTCAGTTCTGAATGACAGTCAAATCACAGGAAATACTGCTGATAAGCTTAGATCTTAGAGAAATTGAGCAGACTAGGAAATATGTTATCTGTCTGGATATGGTTCATGCATATCTCAATCTTCAATTGGCCATAACATTTCAAAAACCAGGAAACAGTGCTTCCAGTGGTCAAGATGATATAACAAAGGTCCATGAAAGGATGAGCAGATGAAAAAGCACTTTATGATCAGTTTAGCTGTTTTCCTAACAATCATGAGTACCAGGTTTTCAATTGATGAGAGTAAAAAACTGGAAGGGAGGAATGTTACTGCTATTGGCAGACACGTGTACAACATCAAGAAGTTCACACGGGAAGCAAAGGACACTATGAAAACAAAATAAAACAAAACATAAGAACTTAAGAATCACAGAGATTTGGAGCCTTTTAGTTTAAGGGCAAAAGTCACATAGAACCTAATAAGTTTAAAGAGAAAATTGTATTATAATTGAGGTGCAAAAAACCCGAGTTTTTCTACCCAGAGTACAGGGGCAAGGGTAAAGAATGCAGGTTTGAGAAATAGGTTGATTATAATAAAAAACTAAAGGGCATATAGGTAGCTTCACTTGCTTAGAAAATTCATATGCAATCCCCAATCAAGAAGAACAAAACAAACAATATTATATTTTGTTTGTTTGTTTTTTAAATGAAAACACCTGAGACTGACAAGCCTAGGATAGAGATTATGGCAATTTCCCTGCAAGGATAATGTCAGAAACCAGGAAATGGGAAAGAATCAGATAGAAGGTGAAATGATAATAAGAGTCAGAATTTTTTGAGATGGTGCTACTTTATGTATAAATGTAAAAAAAATCAGAAGAGGAAACTTAAAGCCCTTTACTAGCAGAGTCCGACTGTAGGAGGGGAGGAGTTAACCATGCTAGATATACCCCAGTCTGTGTTTCCAGACTAGCAAGACAACTACAAGAACCTGTGTTATACATGCAGTTTCCTTATTTAAGAAGCAAAACACTACAAATACTACAGATAGTCACAGAGATAAGAACTCTGAGTAAATTACCATGATGAAGTTATACACTATAGTTTAATAAGCAACTTTTTATCCATCCACTGCAAAACGGGGGTGGGGGGGGTGAGGGGGAGACACGATACAGCAATGCTCTGAACAACTGCTCAATGTATATAGAAAATGGTTTTATAGAAATTGATATTTTCCCTATTTTTTCCTCTCTGCAGATATGGCATTGCCAAACAATTTTCAAATTAAAAGAAACCATGCTGAAGTTAGGCTTTTAAACAAATATAGATGAAATTAGCTTTTAAAATTATTTAATAAATTATTTCAAATTAAAATTATAAACTTGGGACTAGAGAAAGAAATAATGTATCAGAACTAAAATGGTAGCCAATACTGATGCAACAGCAAATTTTACAATGCTATTTGCTACTGTAATCTCACTAAAATAAAATCTTTATCTTCACTCGTCACACTAAGCTACATAAAATGCCACCTTTCCGTGTTTTAATTTCCTGGACCACAGACAAAGTTACAATACGAATCATCCTCATCCAATAAGTGAATTAGTTTCATTATGAGCATACCCACAGGCTAATTTCCTTATTATCCACTAGGGGCCCAGTGCACGAAATTCGTGCACTGGGTGGGTGGGTCGGGGTTGTCCCTCAGCCCAGCCTGCCCCCTCTCACATACTGGAAGCCCTCAGGCGTTGACCCCCATCACCCTCCAATCGCAGGATCGGCCCCTTGCCCAGGCCTGACGCCTCTGCCAGAGGTAT